AACCCCACAACACCCCCACACCCACACACACCCCCACACACAACCCACACACCACCCCCCCCCACAAAAACACACACACACACCACACACACACCACACACCCACACCACACACACACACAAACACACCACCCCACACACCACCACAACCCACACACAACAAACACACACCACACCACACCCCAAAACACACCACAAAAAAAACCACAAAAACACCCCAAACCCCAAAACCAAACAAACCACCCCAAAACAACCCCAAAAACCCCCCCCCAAAAACACCAACCCCAAAAACAACCCCCCCAAACCACAACCCACCACCCAAAACCCACCCCAACAACAAACACCCCAAAAACCCCCAAAAAAACCACCCCAAAAAAACCACACCCACCCCCACACCCCCCCAAACCACACACCACACACCACACACACACACACACAAACACACACACACCCACACACACACACACACACACACACACACACACACACACACACACACACTGTGGATGTTAATTCTATTATTTATGCTCTTGTTCTGATTGCTGACTTGGTTAGTTCTCTATTGACTATATAATTGCATTCCCTGTGTGTTCTATTAACCCTGGTCCAGTATTCATTAGTCCATAATGTGGTCTGAAAACTTCACTAGTGGCACAAGGATGTCAAGTTCTGTTGGTGTCTGGGCTTTATTAGTGTCCAGGGAAATGAACTGGTTGATGCCAAGGCAAAGTAGTGAGTTCATTCTACAGTAGACTTTTATCTTAGTGACTTCGTGGGTCATAGCCACAGATATGTCCTTGGGAAGTGGGAGACCCAGTGGGCCCCTGCAGACTGGAAACAAGTTATACAGGGTTTGGCAGAATGTGGATGCTTGGCTCTAGTAAGAATAGTTACTTTGACAGTTCTCTGTTGACTAAGGATTGGGCGCACACCTCGCCTACAGTCGCCTGTTAACAGGTGCTTCTGCCATCCTTCTGTATAACATGTGATGTGCCTCGACTGGGAATCACATTTTAAGTTTGCCCCAGCTTAAGCATTTTTGCCTTTGTCTTGATTTTTTACAATTACTGAGGTGTCTGTAGGGAACTTTCAGGGAGGTCTTTTGATATTGGTAATTGAATGGGGCTTTTAATTAATGGTGACTGTTAATTTGGTGTGATAGTATTTTGTTGGATGCTTATGCTTACTGCTTTTATTGTTAATTTTAACCTTGTTTTTATTGCAATGTCTAGTTTTTTATGCCTGTAAATGCTGCATGTCCAACTTGGTCAAAGTGCTCCATATATATCACTACTATTATCTATCTTTTAATGGTAGAGCTGCTGCGTTTATCAAATCTCATCCGGTAGAGTTGCCGCATGTCAGCAATGCTTTTGTCCTGTAATTGTCACTTCCCTTGCCTCTACCTCTGTTCCAGCTTCATGTACTGTACTGTATAATCGGTACTTCCCAACAACTGCTTTTCAGATTGTTCACACTGATGATGGTTGTGTGAAATGATTTATATGCACTTGAACTTGGCATGTCTTTTCAGCCCTTTTATCTTTTGCTTATTTTTCTCTGTTCTCACTAATTTCATGCACATCACTTGCTTCCTCAGCTCTGCATTTCTCAACTTCCTATTTAAAAAAAAAAAATCCCTAAATCCTTGTACCTGTGTGAACATGTGTACCTGTATTTGAAAACTTTTGCATATAGTGCATAAAGATTTAATGCTGCAATGGAAACCCATCTTGAATCAAAATTGTATTGCAGTGTCTAACAAATAAGCCAGTTATTTTTATTTGGTAAATTCTCTCATGACATGGGAGTTAGTCCTGAGAATCAGCATATAACATAAAATCACATTACTTAAAGTGAATATCATATGAGAAAGTTACATTCCAGTCAACATATTTTGTAAAAAAAATTTTCTTTTGTATTATGCCTGTATTACTACAGTACACCTTTCCTTACTCTTTTTTACCCATTACTTGAAGCATTTTAAGAGTGGGGTATGGAGTTGATTACACTTTCAAACCATTCAGAACCTAACTTGTATTGTTGTGAAGGCTTTCCCCACCTCAGTTTTATAGTAAGATGATGCTTTGTACCTTATTACCTTCACACTAAGGGAACCCTTCCCCCTTTGTTTTGTTCCTCAGTCCAAACATTAAATAACTTCTCTTATAGTCTTGTATGTTTTTTCACCAGAACATAAGTGAATTGAATAATTCTTGTAATGTTATTATTGAAAATTCCAAGGAGACTTCTTTTACATGAGAAGTATTTTGGGCATATTTTGAGTATGTGACAGTCTTTGCTACTTAATTTACTAACCATACCCCGGCCGGGATTGAACCCGCGGTCAGAGAGTCTCAAAACTCCAGCCCGTCGCGTTAGCCACTAGACCAGCTAGCCACAATAAGATTCGTCCAACTAGGTATATTTCTACACCATAGGAAGGTTAGCACAGGCACCACTGTGACCACAAATGCAAGTTTTTACAGACGAATCTCCAGCTAGCGTGGCCGTGACGAACTCTAGCTCAAGTCCCTTCACTGCCGTCAACATGACTCACGAAATCGTAATGACACGATTGCAAACAAACCATACCCCGGCCGGGATTGAACCCGCTAACGCGACGGGCTGGAGTTTTGAGACTCTCTGACCGCGGGTTCAATCCCGGCCGGGGTATGGTTTGTTTGCAATCGTGTCATTACGATTTCGTGAGTCATGTTTAATTTACTAGCTCTTATCTTTTTTCTAATTGTCCAAATGGTTGCTTCATTCACCTAAAACACACACAATTTCCATCACAGGTGCACCACCTCTAAACTTATCCTAACACTATTTCTTCATTGCTGTTATAGATTGACGCTTATTCTTCTTTGGCATCTCCAGCATCACTAGTGTAATTCTCTTGGGTGCAAGAATTAAATTTCAGAGACCAGATAGTTATAAAAATATTCAAAAGAGCTCTATAAACCACAAAGTGAGGCACAATATGCTCACTCATAGAATGGAACTGCAGGCTTCATGGGTACTCAGTGGGAGGGAAGGAGTCATGGATTATCAAAATTTTTCCTGTATCTTAATGCTATTAAAAGCTGTAGTGTATTGTACCAATATTTCTTGCATTAAACTATTTTTTTAAAGGTTTATATAGCTAATATCAAGGTTTTCTCATTCTTCCCAACTTATGGTTGCACTCGTTGAAAAGTTATGAGAAAATCGAGCAACAGGAAGTGGTGTTATAAGAGGGTTGATTGTGTTATTTCAGATTCTTCCTTTGTTATTTTGTATTGCCAAAATGTTTAAATATTGTACATACCTAGTACAGTCATCCCTACAAATTTGTGAGCTGTGTTAACTGATTTTGATCATTCAGCATTTTTGCTGGAGGATAACCTCCAAATATTCAATTACGTATCTAACATTTTTTCTGTTGGCTTTCTTACATTCAGATCTCTCATATTCTGGTTATTATTTTTCATGAATGTCACTATTAATCAGATTTGTGATATATTAGTTTGTCTGCAATGCAAAATGAACCCAAATCTGAAAAAAAAATATGCAAATTTAATTTTGTATTTGCTGTTTTTAGTTTCATGGGACCTATAGGAAGGGAAACACTTTACCCTCTTCCACCAGTCCCCCCCACACTAATTTGTTGGATGACTTTAATATGGCATTGACTTCTACTATTACTGTTTTAAAAATTTCATAAATACTGCTTTAATAAAAGATGTTGCTGCCTTGTCATTTGAGTGCAAAACAGAAACCTATTAAATGTAGCGTGATTACTGGTCTTTTCTTTCTGTCTCGTGAATACAAAAGAAGGCAGATCAATCTGGACTTTTATTTATTCTTGTGTACTTTTCTGTGGTCTTAATTCTGTAGTTTATTCATGTAATTTTTGAGTGGTCTGAGGCTGGGCTGCAGGGGTGGTAATTCTGGGAATCGTCAGCAGACTTAACAGATAAAAGAATATACACCATTGCAAGTTTCTCTAGTGGCTGAAATTTTCTGGAATTGCTATTTAAAAACACTGTACTTAGTTTGAAAAACTTAATTATGCTGTGGCTATACAGTTTGCTTAGAAATGACTACAAAGTTATAAAATATTTGGAGATCTTGTGCCACAACATTTAGGCAGAAAGGTTGTCTTTCATTCTTTACAAGAAGTTTTATGCTACTGCAGAAATGAATACATTTTGTGAACATAGAGCACGTACAATAAGCTTGATCTCATATTTTCAATGTGGCATGCATGGCTAAGTAATTCGGGTTCACCAATTAGTCAAAATGTGACACAAAGAACCCGCACATAGGAGAAATATGAGGAATGTTAAGGAAAAATAGCCATAATCATTGTAAATTATGCTAGAAATGAAATGTCATTTTATACTTATAATATTTGTAGGTATGCTCTACAAGAATTGTAGTAACTTGTTAAATGCAGTTAATGTAAAGATACTAGTAATATGCTTTGAGGTTTCTTACTACCTCTGTTTTCTTTTATTATTTATTATAAAATTATTATAATTGTAATTATTCTTATTATTATTTTATTATTTATTATTATTATTATTTATTATTATTATTATTATTATTATTAGTAGTAGCATTAGTATATAGCTCCTTTGAGATTGGATTTTAATATTCGTCTGATACCCATGTTACTTTTTTTTTATAAGACTTTCATGCATACTTTATATTTCATTCATTTAATTGAACTAAACACTTTATCTATAATTATAATGAAAAATATATTGATATATAATTATTGCAGACCCTTTCTCTAACCAGCCATCACTCAGTGTAATTTTATGTCTAGAATCCCATTTGTTAAGTGAAGGCTACCCCTTACCCCTTTCTCCTTCATGCACCTGAATTATAGTTTCTGCAGGTTTTGACTAGGAAAAATGATACTTTCCCTTATATTTAAATATTGATATGAGAATGGCTTTTACTGGTTTGTAGCTAATTAATATGTCAAGATGTATTATTGTTGGACAGTGGTCACAGAGCTAACTTGGAGACTTCTTTGTTTATGCAAAGCACCAGAGGGTCTGGTATAACAGAGTAAGTTATTCCTCATGCAGTCAAACATGAGCTGCATTTAGAGTGATGCTGGTGTGTCTAACCCATTCCTTGGGTTGCCTTAGCTCCTACTTGTACTACAACCAACATTTATCTGGCTTTTCTCACTCCTTGCCAGTCGATTGCTCATCTTATTTCTTCTTAGTGCTAATTCTACTGATTGTGCCAGCTTCTTTGCTCTCCTAACTACATATATTCTGTTTAGAATGCTTCTTGTATAATGACATTGGTGTTCACAGCTTCAAACTGAACTTAATCATTTGTGCTTATCCATAAGAATGAGCTGTACAATCTGTATTCGCTACTAACTTTGTGGTACTTTTGTTCTTTGAATTTGCACTTTCATACATGCACACAGTTACATGGTAGCAGTATGGTAGTATGTATTCTATGTATATAATCCAGTTACAGCTTACAGTTTAAGTACTGTAGTTCAATGTAATAACTTGCAGTGACAATCTTTTTAAGGGGGGGCTATTTCTTTTGTTATATGTTAATTAACTGTGTTGATTATTCCCTTACATTAATATGTTAGTCTTGTCAAGTAGCTCAGTTAATTTGAAAATAAAGAGGAGTCCACAAAACCTGTGCATGAATTGCTGAATGATACATAGATTTTCTTTTGAATGCATGTAATGAAGTTAGAACATAAATATATCATTGTAGGTATTTCTGCATTTCTCTCCATGGGTTTGCATTAGAATTCAAACATTTTCCTCGTAGTATCAAGCAAAAATAAGAACCATGTTGAATAATTTCTCAAGAGATAACATATGTAAATGCTGGTAAATTTCCTTACCATTTATGCTATTTAGTTACTTCTTTTAATGTCAGGATGGTGTATATAAAATTTATGCTACTGTGTATGTCTTGGTAAATTATCTTCACTCTTAATAAAGTACAAATTGATTTTAAATTAATTGGTGTGGTTGGTGCATTTGTGGTGTTTTTTTGTGTTTACTTATTTGAATTATCTTCCAAGTTTGTGGGATAAGTTCCATCTCTTAGTCCTATTGTGTCTGTGTTTTGACTTCATGTAGGGTCTGCTTTCTCTCTTATTGTCAAGTTTATTTCATTTGTAACCACGTATTCTTGCTCTTTTTTCTTCGCTGGCAAAGTTCCTTGCTTTGTCCACCATGATCTCTGGACCACTATAATCTTTATAAAGAGAAGAGGGACAAAATTAAGAATTATGAGGGAATAAGTCTGTTGAACATTTCAGGTTTTGTGGATGGCAGAATTGTTGTTGATGAATAAACCACTGAACAGGTGGGGGTTAAACCCATGGCAAGTGAGTTGTAAAACCCCAGGTCAGTGCATAAGTCAATGGGCCACCTGGCTACAATAAGATTCATCCAACTAGGTATATTTATACACCGTTCATTGATTTATTTGCAATCATGTTTTTACAATATTGAGTAGAGATGAGGATATTTTTTATATTTTTCACCATACAAGCAAACATTGCATAACCCTTTCATTCCATCACATAGATCGATGTTATTGACACCAGAATCCATTACGTAGATGTACATCATGAGCTCGTCTCGCTCAAAAAAAGCTGTTAAGCTGTAAATGTTGGCCAGGATGTGAGAGAATGGGTCTTTGCAGTCAGTGTGCACAGTATCAAAAAAAAATCTTGCCTCATGTGGTGCATGATGGGAAAAACAAAATTCTGACCTTATGCTTGGTTTAAAATAGTAACTTTGAGGTGTTTTCAGGGATGGTTTTTATGGTTTTATTTGCTGTTTCTTGGTATTTGATAGAATGGAAGCCATACTGCTGAAATAGAGACGATTTTGGTTTCAGGACCAGAAATGCTTGAAATTGGCCATAAGGTAGCAGAAATACTTTACTTTTGTAGACTGATACAGCTATTTTACCCTCCATCCTTTCCTTCCTTTCTGGTATGTTTTATAAGGTTTTTCCAATTCAGTTATTGGGATGCCACAGACCATGACCAGTCATTCCTGGTTATATATTAGTACAGTGGACCCTTGGTTATTAGCCGTAATCTATTCCAGATCGGCTGAAAACTGACATGGCCGAAAACCGAAATAATATTTCCCATAAGAATTAATGGAAATACTTTTTTTTTTTTTTTTTTTTTTAGCAAGTCGGCCATTTCCCACCGAGGCAGGGTGACCCAAAAAGAAAAAAAATCCCCAAAAAGAAAATACTTTTATCATCATTCAACACTTTCACCTCACTCTCACATAATTACTGTGTTTGCAGAGGTGCTCAGAATACTACAGTTTAGAAGTATATACACATAGATACACAACATATCCCTCCAAACTGCCAATATCCCACTTTAAAGGAGGGGTTTGGGATATTGGCAGTTTGGAGGGATATGTTGTGTATCTTTATACATACAGTGGACCCCCGGTTCGCGATGCTATCGGTATCCGATAAATCCGGTAACCGATGCATTATATCGCAGAAAATTTGCCTCGGTTCCCGTTACAAAACCCGGTATGCAATACGATTCGTACGAGATGTGTCCAGTGTTTACAAGCCAGCCAGTGTGCCCGCATCTAAGGATACATTCGGTGCATTCTATATTATCCATATTATCACTGTTTTTGGTGCTTTTTTCTGCAAAATAAGTCACCATGGGCCCCAAGAAAGCTTCTAGTGCCAACCCCTCGAGACCAAGGGTGCTAATGACTATTGAAATTAAGGAAATGTGTGCAAGTGGCTTGAAGTGCAAACCTTTTTTGATGAAAATCACCCTGACACAGCTACTGCAAGCCGTGTTGGCAACCTGTACACTGACAGTGTTGTGAATCACTTTAGGAAAGTCATAAAGGAACGAGAGGTACAGGCCTCTAAGGACAGATATGTTGTGCAACAGAAGTCCAGTGACTCTCAAGCTGGTCCTAGTGGCATTAAAAGAAGGGAAGTAACCCTGGAAAAGGACTTGCTACCTCAAGTCCTAATGGAGGGGGATTCCCCTTCTAAACATTAAAAACTTTGACACACTCCCCTCCTCCCATCCCATCAATCATCACCAGATCTTCATTAAAGGTAAGTGTCAATTATTCTATTGTTATTATTGTTATTGTAATTATTATATTGCATTGAACTTAATATATCATGTGGTAAAAGTTGTTTTTTTTTCATACTTTTGGGTGTCTTGCACGGATTAATTTGATTTCCATTATTTCTTATGGGGAAAATTGATTTGCTTTCCGATAATTTTGGTTTACGATGAGCTCTCAGGAACGGATTAATATCGTGAACCGGGGGTCCACTGTATATACTTCTGAACTGTTGTATTCTGAGCACCTCTGCAAAAACAGTGATTATGTGTGAGTGAGGTGAAGTGTTGAATGATGATGAAAGTATTTTCTTTTTGGGGATTTTTTCTTTCTTTTTGGGTCACCCTGCCTCAGTGGGAGATGGCTGACTTGTTAAAAAAAAAAAAAAAAAAAAAATTAATCCGTTACACAAAAATATTCACAATTTTTTTTTTTTACAATTATATAAATATTATATACCTTTATTGAAGACTAATGCTGGCTTCTGGAAGACAGGTAGGAGGAAAGAGGGAGGGCTTAGTGTTTGGAAGGGGAATCCCACTCCATAAGGACTTCAGGTACCAAGTCCTTATCCGGGGTTACTTCGCTTCTTGTTTTTTTAATGCCACTAGGTCCAGCTTAACCCTTTCAGGGTCCGTCCCGTAGATCTACGGCTTTACGTTCAGGGTCCAAACCGTAGATCTACGTCATGAGCTCAGCTCACTCTGATAAACTGTGAGTGGTACATTTGGGCCTACATAGGAGAGAATACATCTATGTGGTATGTGTGCACCACATAAAACAGATCCTGCAGCACACTGTGTATAATGAGAGAAAAAAAACTGAAATAATGATTTTTCGATTAAAACAGCGACTTTGCAGTGTTTTTTCGTATGTTTTTTATAGTTGTATTTGCGATTTCTTAGTCTCATTTGGTAGAATGGAAGACATATTACAGAAATAGAGATGATTTTGATTGGTTTTAGCACTGGAAATGGCTTGAAACTGAGCTCAAAGTAGCAGAAATGTTAAATTTTTGCCGATGTTCAAGAGTAAACAAACGACCTCACACGTCTAATACACGCCAGCTGGTGGGTCTAATATGCATTCAATAATATGGTGATGATATTTATACAATTATTACAGTATTGCATAACAGTAAATCTTCTATTTTTTGGTGTGAATAAAAATTCATTATGTGAATAAAAAATCAAATTGGAATTTATTTGTAAAGCCTGAAAACGTAACGAATGAACAGAGGAAATGTTAGTTTAGTGCCAGGAATACCTACATTGTTTATTCTGGACCCTATTTTGAAATTGGAATGTTTTGAACTTTGTGTTAAATTGGCCAAATTAACAATTTCCAATCACTTTAATTTGTAGTTGAAACAGTTGACTTGGCAATTTCTTGTGCTCAATCGATAGAATAGAAGTAATACTAGTGAAATAGCTAAGAATTTGGTTGACTGGAATAATGTAATTGGCCTAAAATGGGAGTCAAAGTCGGCAAAATCGCCGCTTCGTAAATATCGCTGACACATCAAAATTCGCGAGAACATAATTTCGTCAATTTTCCATCAAATTTCGTACTTTTTGTTTTATTACCTTCACAAAAAGATTCTCTTCCATTTCATAAGAAAAAATAAAAAATTTTTTTTTTGAAAATTCTTGGACACTGGGGCACCACTTCAGATTTGGGCCTTGGACCCTGAAGGGGTTAAGAGTCACTGGTACCCTGTCTCGCAAAATAACTGTCCTGAGTGCTCTGTTTCTGGCGTCTCTTTAAGATTTCGGTGAAGTGGGACAGGGTTTTGTCACTAAACATGTTGCAGATATGGCTTGTTTCAGCTTTGTCAGGGTGGTACTTCTCGACAAAATTTTGCACATCATTCCACTTTGCACAAATGTCCTTAATCAATGAAGAAGGCTCCTCCTTCACTCCCTCTTCCTCCTCCTC